GAACCTGCCACCCTTGGTATATGGGGCAGGCGCCCTACCCACTGAGCCACAGGCACCACCCTCCCAGTTTCTTTAAATGCAAAATTGGGATAGTGACAGTACCTACCTCACAGATTTGTGGTGAGGTTAAACGAGTTAATATGAGCAAAGTCCCTAGACCCATCTCTGACGCATGGAAAATGGTTACTGTGAGTTAGCACCAGAGCTATGCACACGTACACACACACACACACACACACACACACAGAGTCTGAGTGGGTGTATCTGGATATTTTTATATTTCTATGTGAATATATATTCACATATTCACAAAATATCCAGATTCACACAGAATATATAGAGAACCTATATATCTGGTTCTCTTATATATTTATATTGAATGATAATATCATTAACAATATTGATAGCCAACATGGGTTGAGCGTGAGTTTTAGGCATTAATTTAAGCACTTTACATAGATTATTTTGTTACCTTCAGAAAAAACACGACATAACAATATAACCTAATGTAATTTGGTTATTCTAAATTTTGTAGATTAGAAAACGGAGGTCCAGAAAGCTTAAAATAAGTCGCAGGTGGCATAAATTCACACAGCTAGCTATGTCACTCTTGCCTTCTCATTGGTTTAATAATATTATGTAATATTACTCCTGTATTCCATAATATTTTAATTTACATGGTGCTTGGTATTTATCAAGTATTTTCATATACATGCAATCTCATAACCCTGTGAAGTGAGACGGGCAGGATTATTACTCTCATTTTTATAGGACAGACAACAGATACAACTGAAACCATGAGTTCCTTTGGTGAAAAAGTTTCTGTGTTATAAATATCCTGGGTGCCTGTGTACACAAGGAGTCACCACTGTAAGTGACTGAGTACTTATGCGGTGGCCAGCTCAGCAGTCAGTGCTGGGGGTAGACACTACGCCCTCCCCTGGAGGCATCACAGGAGGGCAGTGTGAAAACCAAGAGTCACCACTCCCAACATACAGTCAATAAGGGGGATGTGAAGGGTGTTCAGGGAGCACAAAGGAGGGGCCACCTGAGCAGGGAGGTCTTAGAGAAGGAAAAGGAGGGGAGGAGTAAGGAGGGAAGAGGAGGCTTTTTTAGAAGAAAGACTCATACCCCAGAAGTGCATTCATGTACACAATTACCATTCAATTAAAAAAAAAGAAGAAGAAAGACTCATGTGTGTGGATGGAAATCCCTGTGTGCCTAGGCATGGCTCTGTGGGGATCAGACTGTGTCCCCTTTCACACCGGCTTACTCATGTAAGTATTAAATTATGTACATGCTGCTGTCAGTGTAGAATGAGGAAACCTGAATGCCAAGGAGACTTTGTCTGGTTTCCCACATACCAGAGTAGGACCAAGCCTGCCTTGATATGCAACTGCCCATCTCTGCCCCCAACTCCAGGGTAACTAGCGATCACTAGTTTCTCCCCAATCCAGAGCTATGGAGGTTAGACACACTAGGTTTTTGCAGTCCGTCAGTCTGAATGTGCAGTGGTCTAATAGAGCCGGCTGCTTCATGCAGGTAATGGGGGGTGAAGAGGTACAGGTACCTGGGGGTGCGTATCTGTGCAAATGCTTACCGTTAGCTATTCCTAGTCAAACTAGGAAAACTTCCCTTCTCCCTTTATCTTCACCACTTTGGGGAGTTTATCCACTGACCTGTTTTCATGCCACCTGCACAAGGCTGACTTCTGTTTCCACTTAAATGTCCTGGGGATATCTAAAATATATTTCTGTACTGGGGCTGGGCAGAAGCAAGGCTGTGTAGTGTTGGGGCCCCTATTCCATGGAGGTACTCCCTGCTCTTTCCCACCTCCACCACACTCTGGTCCAGGAATCTCCCGGAGGAGGAAGATGTGCACAGGCAATAGTACTTGCAGCAGCCATCAGAAACCCAGAGGGTCCCTCTCAGAGGCAGGCTGCTCCACACCCCTCCCTGGAAGATAAAACCTATTTGGTGGGGGGGTGGGACTTGGCTCCTGTGGCTCAAGCGGCTAAGGCGCCAGCCACATACACCTAAGGTGGCGGGTTCAAATCCCCAGCCCAGGCCGCCAAACAACAATGATGGCTGCAACCAAAAAAAAAAAAAAAAAAAAATAGCCGGGCGTTGTGGTGGGCGCCTGTGGTCCCAGCTACTTGGGAGGCTGAGGCAGGAGACTCGCTTGAGCCCAGGAGTTGGAGGTTGCTGTGAGCTGTAAGGCCATGGCACTTTGCCCAGGGGGACAGCTTGAGGCTCCGTCTCAAAAAAAAAAAAAATACCTATTTAGGGGGCAAAATTGACGAAAGAGGGGAAGTGAACACTTCTCTCTCCACAATGTTCCCCCAGGGACTGGGGACACAGAAGTAAGGTGGTAATACTCTTGTTTCTCTTAAGCTTGAATGATCAAAAGAGCTAAAAATGATCACAAATAATATGGAATTGATAGTAATTATTATTATCCCCATAATGTGGCAAAAAAAAATTGAGCTGGATTTTCCTTTTTGTTATCTGGTGTATAAATTCGGGGCCATGGGGTCAGGTGAGGCAAGGGCTTTATGCGCTGGAATACACTGGTGACTTGTGTGTGTTTACGTTTTAGCCCAACGCACTGCCACACAGCTAAATGTATCTGCATGTTAAGACTGGCAGAAATAAAGTACAATAATCAGCACACGTAGTGTGTCATACTTTAACTTGAATGAATAAGTGGGCGAAAAGAAAAACAACCATGTATAGAAAAGTAGAATTGTCTCAAGCAGCAGTCCTTGAATACCTGGATTCTCTTTCTAGTTCCATCAATGACTTAATCTAATGAAAAGTTCTTATCCTCTATTGATAGACTAGATGATAGCAGGTTATCTCTCAAAAATATTAATATGCTTAATCAAACCTCATTGAAGTGTCTTTTAATATGTAAATTATCTCTAATAAATGTAAGCTGTTGCATGTCTGAAACTTTATATTCATTATAGCATCTTATATATTTTCATGTTCTGGACACAAATATTTTTCTGAACATTAAGGAAAATGCTAGTTTTGTTATATGCCAGGGGAAATTTTCCATTGCTAATATGTTGTTTTTTGCCCTTAAATACTGCATCACTAATCTGAAAAAGAGAAATAGCCTGATTACGGCTAGAGATTCTGTTTAGAGGCTAAGGTTTCCATCCTGGGCTGCTTTCAACTGTTATATTTTATGGCACAGATTCAGTGGGAATCTGATCTGCTAAAATATTTGGGCTGTGAAAACTCCCACACTGTGACAGATGTCAAGTCCAATTAAGTGACTCATGTCCAGGTTTCTGTCCAATAGGATTTCCCATTAAATATCAATTTAGTGGGGAAAAAAAATTCCATCCCCTGTCTTAAGGCTTTATCTCTTCCAGCATCTCCAGGCTGCATCAATTGGTACCAGGAGAGCCAAGAAGCCACACGCATCTCTGCCTCTTTGCTCTGGCTCTCCCACCCTCTTCCCTTCTTTCTCTGCTTCCCTGTCACTGTTACTCCAGGAGACTTTCACTTTCACCAACCTTTCTCCAAGCATCTCCAAGCCACTGACTAGATATACTTTGCTACAAGGTAAAGCGAGGAGGGGGTGGGGATGGGGGAATGTAACCAAGCGGTGAAAGACTTTGGAACTGGAAAATAGGTGTCTGTTTATACAACGGACAAGTCAATGAGGGAAGAGAAAGAGGCAACCTTAGATCCTAGTTACAGTACTGTGTTCCTGGGAACAGGGGAGACATCAGCTGAACAAAGACTTATCTAAAAAAAAAAAAAAAAAAATCACTTCTGAGCAAGATCACATCTCTGCCCTGCACTTCCCAGTTTCTGTTCAGCGTATTAAGGGAAGGAGAGGAGGCCTGCAGGCGCGGAATCTTATCTTAACCATCTTTCTTATTGATTATTCTGCTATTAGAAAGTGTAGGAATCAGCCCTTGGATGTGCCTGTGTTCATCTCTGCATCTCTTTTGTTATTCATAGACCCTGGAAGAGGAAAAAGGCACGAGACTTTTCAACACATCGTTTAAAATTATCAACAACGAATTTCTCGAAATGTTTGAGGACAATTAAAAGGAAAAGGCGTTTTTGATCTACTAAGTGAACAATCATTCGTAACATCCCGAGATATTATCGCCCCTCCTTGTCACCAGCGCGATGACAGCTGCTTTTTCGTTTTTGAATGTAATAAATATTTGCTGCTTTTAACATTTTCCGGAATTTCCCCCTCGCTATTCCCTGGAATTTTAACTCTAAAAGATTGGAGAAAAGATTATCGGAAAGGCTTTGGCAAGGTAAGACTCCTTTAAATCTTTTTTTTTTCCTAGCTTGAAACTAAGTTTGATGATTCACACTGCGTTTCTATAGATGCATTTCAGTCCCTACTTACACAGATAAAATGCATACCCGAAATACTATTTGTGAATAATTTTAGAAGATACCTGGAAGAGAATTTAACAGGCTTTGAGGTCAACCCAGGAACTTTTTACCCGAACTATAACTATGTCGTGGCGTATTGTGATTTTCCATTATTTCCGCCCTTTCAAGCCGACTGTGTGGGTGCAAGTTGTGCTACTTGTAACGTACCCGAGAAAAGCCCGCAGGGAGTCACATGCAGTTGTCTTGGAGCATTTGTTTTTATTTTGCCCGAGAGGACCTGTTTTCCTCTCAGGAAAATGCAAGCTGTTTGGGAGCCCAATTCGGTCCCAAGCGAGTGCAGCGACAGGAACCGATCACGCATCCTCTTGCTTTGTTTCCCTACACAAACCCCGCTGCACGTCCCCGACGGAGATTTCTCCCGTGCGCAGCATCGCTCGGGCGGCAGACGCCGGGGACCCCGGGCTCCCAGCCCGGCTCTCCCTCCCGACGACGGCGGGCAGTGCGCCGCAGCTCCTGCCAACAACCCCTTTCTAGAAGCCCGAATTCCCCCCGAAGCCCAGGGGTTCGAGCGGCCTCCTCCCAGAAGGCGCGTGGTCCGGGCTGGTCCTGCAGCCGCCCCGGAAAAGCCTGGCGAGGTGGCTTTTACAAGAGGCCACAGTCAGAGGAAGGCTAAGCACCTACACGCCGGCCTTGGCCAGGCCGCCCGAGGACAGCTGCAGGCTGCCAAGCTCCGGTCTCTGGAGCGCCCGAACTTTGCCAGGGGAGATGGAGCTGGTGCCCCAGCAACACGCGCGGCACCCGCTCCTCCCGGCCCCACGCGGGCCCTTTCTTCCCTCCAGACGCGGCTACCCGGCCGCTGGCATTTTCCCGGGCGGTGGTCCGCAGTCTGCCGGCGCATTGTCTTATCCCAAGTCGCCGGGTCCCTAGGTCCCTTATGTGTACGACTGCGTGACAGATGGTGCTCCTGGAGCCTGCGAGAGCATAGGAGTTAATTTTCTTTTGAAAGAAACCTGCCCGTTGCTTATTTCTTTATTATATGGGAGAAGCGCGAGGGGGACGACGGATCTCCCGGTTTTTCGCCGGCGCCCGCAGCCTGCCAGCGCTGGGCGCCCCCACGCAGCCTCGGGATCGGCGCCAGGCCCTGGGGCGCCGAAGCTTCCCGACTGCCTAGCCAGGGTCCTCGGGGCGGGAAGTGCGCTCGGCGACTCCCGCCCCCATTGAAACCCAGCTGTATTCGTAGTTCGGAATCGTTCGTTTGTCTGGGCAGGGGGTGAAGTGAGGGAAGGGGAATAGCGCAGGTGGTATTAGGTGGAGGGGACACAGAAGCTCAGTCTCGGCCCTGCAGGCCTGAGGTCGTCCCGCAGGCCCCAGGCCCCAGACCAGCCTCCAGCGGCCGGGGTGTCGGGTCCGGAATGCGGCCAAGGCCAAGCTCACACAACCGGCTCGCGCACGGCGGGGAGGCGCGGGGGGCACGTCCTCCCTGCGGGCGCGCTGGCCTGGCGTGGGGAGAGGGGCCCGGGACCGGCGTCCGCCGGCCCTCGCCCGCCATCCCTCATAGCAGAGGGAGACCCTGATTCCTTTTATTGATTGCTTTTCTGACTCCCCATCAGCCTCCAAAATGATGCTGAGTCCAGACCAAGCCGCAGACTCCGACCACCCCAGCTCCGCACACTCGGACCCGGAGTCGCTGGGCGGCACGGACGCCAAGGTGCTGGGCAGCGTGTCGGACCTGGAGCCGGTGGAGGAGGCCGAGGGAGACGGCAAGGGTGGCAGCCGGGCCGCGCTCTACCCGCACCCGCAGCAGCTGAGCCGCGAGGAGAAGCGCCGCCGCCGGCGCGCCACGGCCAAGTACCGCTCGGCCCACGCCACCCGCGAGCGCATCCGCGTGGAGGCCTTCAACCTGGCCTTCGCCGAGCTCCGCAAACTGCTGCCCACGCTGCCCCCGGACAAGAAGCTCTCCAAGATCGAGATCCTGCGGCTGGCCATCTGCTACATCTCCTATCTCAATCACGTCCTGGACGTGTAGGGCGGGGGCCGGCGAGGGAGGCCGCCCGTCCGGTTGCAACGCGAAACGCGACGGACCCGGGCGGCCGCCGCGGGGATGGCGGAGGCGGCGGTGGCCCAGCGGGACAGCAGCTGCGTAAGACTTGGACGGGGAAAGAAACTCCCAACCTGTTCTCTCTGGTCAGCAGGGAGGTTTCCGAGGCTGGGAGGTGGGGCTGTCTGGCGAGCCCTGGGGCTCACAGGGGGGATTTTCCAGGCCAGGAGAACCTCCTGGAGGCACCGGAGATGAGCCGCCTCCGGGCCTCCCCTTGGTGTGTTAGGATCCCTTTAAGGGGTGTTGCTTTAACCCACTGGAGACTTTGAGTTCTCCCATATTTATCTCCCACGAATCTTCATGTTTTGAAAGAATGAGGGCAGAAGCTCGGGGGAGATAGGCTCATAATTTTAGACTATCTGGAATTTTTCTAATTGACAAATCACCAAACATCGGGGAGGAGGGGGGGAGAGTCTCTTCCATATAAAGATTTTAGGCACAGAAAGGTGGAACAGGAAACTTCCCCTCTGTTGTGAAAAGAAAGATGATATTAGAATCCAATCAAACCCTGAATACTTGGAGAGGTTAAAAGACACTTTGAAGACAAATAGACACACTGTGGGAGGATTTGAGCTTGGTGATATTTTATCCCCAAGATAATGACACTAAGGTAGGCAGGAAAATCCATATTTGAGTGGAAAATTTAATATCTGATTGCTTTTCAGGCAAAGTGCCCCTTTATATATCCAAAAACATCTATTTGTGACCTTAAACATGTGGACCCATAGATGCAGTTAGAAAAAGACAACCTATTTTTATTTATGTTAGAAGGAGTAGAGTATTTTTTTCAAGACATTTATTTTTCAGAGTGGTGATAATTTTACTTTGGATACTCTGTGCCAATTTATTTATAGTCGAGTGTTTACACTTTTTCCTGTGGAATAACGTCTAACTTTTTACGTGTTTGTTGAGATTATCCTGTGGTCTTTCTTTTTGCTCTAATTATATTGCACTTGTATAGCAAATCTCCCACTTCTCCCGATTTCTAAACATATTTTATATATTAAGATGTTTGTTCTTGAAAGGTTTTTCTGTTGTGAGATGAGCAACACTAGCACTTCACTATTATAGTTTTTTAAGAAAGTGTGTTATTCTTACCTGTAGTTATGTCTGAAAAGTACTTTACAAACTGTTTATAAGGAGAGTAGCTTCTTTGTGCGTGTGTGTGATGTTTGTGCGTGGGATGATTTTAGGAAATTAAGTTATTTTCCTAAAAAAGATAATAATTCAGAACTACTTTCCTCTGTGACACCAAAAAGAAAAGTCTGTAACCTGAAAATGTTTCATGTTCTCAGCTGTGATACTCTTAAAACAAGGAGTGTATTTTAGAGACAAGGGAAAAAAAAACACATCTGCTATCCAAAGATTTTAGTCTTTTTCAGGGTTTTTTTGTGTCTCCGTTGCTTTATATAATGCAATATTTTGTAGTGAAAATAGATATAATCTGGTTTCTATCTGACGAGTTTTTCATATCTCATGAATGGTGCGCTGTTTTGCATATAAATAAAGGTATCAAATAAAGTCCTCTCCTTTTTTTTTTTTTTTTAAGGATACTGTCTAAAAATAATGAAGATGCTGGTTGAGCATGAGATATCTTACTGGACTCAATTCCCTAGAAAGGGACTAGTAAACAAAACCTTAATGTAAACGTATTTACGTATTGAGATATTTGCTGTCCTTTCTTAACTTGAATATGGATCAATCTATTAGTAGATGCCCTACATATGATGGTGACAGACATCATGCTACTCTCCATGAGGAAAAGAGGTGTAGTATTTATATAAAATATTACTTGAATTGTATATTCTTTTGCTTTAAAACAGAACTTAGTAACTATATAACCCAACGTCTTCAAATTAGAGTGGGGAAACTGAGGCTCAAGGGGTGACTGGCACTAACTCACATCATTCCTTAGTGGCAGTGAGAAGATGACGCTGATATGGTGATGCCCAGTCTTCATGGCACTTATTAAGAACAAGGTGTATACTGCAATATAACACTCAAATGTCTCATCAGTACATAGGTTCAAGGCATGACGCCTGCAAACAAGAGACAACAATTAAGCCCTGGACCAACTTTGAGATCGATTGTAACCTACAAAAGCCTATAGCTGGAATAAAAATGTGAAATATCGCATCAACAAGCAGAAGACATAAATAACTTAAAAACTCCACACATACATATAGAATGTTATCATGCGAAGTCTCTGCTTTCAAAGTTAATGCAATTATATGGATGCTTGTTGTCATGCTTATAAAATGCCTGTAGGATTGCGAGTGCTTTCCATTTTTTATCCAGTTATCTTGTCAGGTTCACAAATACCTCGTAAGTAGAACTTCATTCTCTTCTTTACATGGATGTGCAGTAGCAAAACACTTTTTAGGACATGAAAAAGAACAGGGTCTTCCTTTGACCAAAGCAACAATGGCTGGTTCCTCACTGACATGCAAAGACTTATGAGTGTCTCCGGGTGTTCTCACCTTGGCAGTGGGGAGCAGTGGGGAGCAGTGGGGAGAGACACTACTCCCAGCTTAGCCCAGGACATGAAGTCAACTTTTAACCTCTAGAAACCTTCCAAGGGTCTCCCTTTCATGGTTTATGAACCTAACTTCCAACTCATCAATCCAGTCTTCTCTTTCATATCCAGGAGGGACCTATTAATTCACCTCCCTAGACAAAAGGCTCTTGCTTCTGGATTTAAAGAAAGAGCATCATCCCTTCTCAGCTACACAGCCCACATGATCCCAGGAGAGAATCTTTGTGATGTCATTTTCAAGGGCGCTCAGCAGCTTTGGATTTGAAGAGAAACTAAGTACCGTGATGCACTCTGCTAGATGGATGAGTGACGGACTCATCCTCTGAATGTGGCAGCAGGACTGTTCAGCTATGCTCGAGGGAGTAATGGTTCTTCCCTGAATAATGGTGATGGGGGTCATTCATTCTTACCATCAACAGTTACACATTAAGGACCTACTGTGTGCCAGGCATTGTTCTAGATGTTAAAAATAAGACCAACACATAGTCTACTGGAGAAGAAGAGTACACTGACAACGAGTAAATATTATTTGATTTTAAATAAAGCTGGTGCTATGAAGAAAAATAAAGCAGGGTGAAGAATTAGAGAATGGCAGCTGAAGGTGCTGCCGCTCGTGCTCCCCTTCCTTTTCAAATCCCGCTAACATGTTCTGAGTGCTCATGCTCCCCAAACAGCCCATCAGCCCATGCGGATCAGTCACCCTTCCCCAGCCCACCCCGGCCTCATCCCTCCCCCACCCAGCTTGGTGTTTCCTGAGACAGATCCAGAACCACACTTTCCCCTGCTGCTTCTTCACCTTCTTCTCTCTGTCCCCAGCTGCTCAGCAACTTGCCAGAACATGGCTGCTCCCCAGGAAGCCTCACCCCACCTGCTCAGCCAGCAAGGCCACCTTGGCTGAATTCAAGGTGTCCATAAAGTTTGTGTGCAGTTTACTATATTTAACTATTTTAAATTGCACATGAACTTGACGTCCCCCCTGCATTTCTCCACCCAGATAGCCTTCTCCTCACTCCTACCACTGCCTGGAGACTTCCAGAGAGCCAGAGGCAGAAGTCCTGGGTAAAACCCTTTTTCTTCCAGAGAGAGGGCAAGGGAAGGGGAAGTGGTGGAGCATAAGTGGTAGGACACAAGAGCAGATGAGGAGAGAGGAATAGGTACGGAGAGGACCAAGGCTGGATGGGACTGGGGGGCCCTGGAAGGAATGCGGCCTTCCCATATAAACCCCATCTTGGGAGGGCTTGTTCCAGTAGGCCTGTCCCATAAACACGTGTCAGAGTCTGCTGTGATGAGGTAAACAGGCCAAGCCAGCTCCTCTGACGCTGATCTATCCACTTCCCCTCACTGCTCTCCATCTCCGGATGGATACCAGTCTCCTTCCTTCCCACTGAGGTTTGGGGTGGAAGGGAAGAAGGGGGAGGTGAGCCTCAACGTAACAGTAGTATAACCAACGCGCTCTTCTAGGCAGTGGGCTGTCTCATTCACCATTAGTACAGCTGCCCCACGCTGAGTGGTATTCTGTACGCTTACAGAGTGGCGTGCTTTGCATGAATTATCTCACGTAATTCTCACAGTGTGGTAGGTACTTTTACTGTCTCCATTTAACAGAGGAAAAATTAAGGCACAAAGAAATTAAATAACGGGTGGCATCTGTGACTCAAAGGAGTAGGGTGCCAGCCCCATATACTAGAGGTGGTAGGTTCAAACCCGGCGCTGGCCAAAAGCTAAAAAAAAAAAAAAAAAAATTAAATAACATGCACAGGGTCATGAAACTACATTGTTAGTTTACATGCCTGCCCCTGCCCTTCATAATCTACACTTGTCCTTTGATAGAGGGGCTGGCGGGCCATGCACAAAACCCTCCCTTAGCCCTCACACTGCATCTCCCCATCATGCCATCATGCCCTTAGGGGAAGCCTTGCCCCTGCGATGCAGAAAGCCCGCACACAAGGCTGCCCAGCCATGGGGGTGAGCCCAGGCCCACACTGAGTCTGTGCTCCATGTGCCAACCCAGGCATGCACCCTGGCTTGGGGTAAACTGGAGGAAAGGGAGCTTTTTTTCTATTTTGCAAGAAAACACTATAGGCTACCGCTAGTAGGGGCCAGCTCTCATAACAGAGATGGGAACTAATATGGATCTGTCCGGGCAGCATTATTCACGACCACTGGATGGGGCAGGCTTCTCAGGCTCCCCATCCACACCCCTGGGCTTCCCATCCACACCACTGTATACATGCTGGCCATTCTCGCTCTTCCCCTAGAAGCCTTTTTTATTTTTACTTCTTCTTATTATTATTTTTGAGACAGAGTCTCACTTTGTTGCCCTTGGCAGAGGGCCATGGAGTCATAGCTCATAGTAACCTCAAACTCTTGGGCTCAAGAGATCCTCTTGCCTAGGCCTCCTGAATAGCTGGTACTACAGGCGTCTACCACCACACCTGGCTATTTTTAGAGATGGGGTCTAGCGCTTGCTCAGGTTGGTCTTGAACTCTGAAGCTCAAGCAATCCACCCACCTCAGTCTCCCAGAGTGCTAGGATTACAGGCTTTAGCCACTGTGCTGGGCCCTAGAAACATTTTTTAAAACTATCATGCCATTCTTCTACCTCAAAACTCCTCATCACCTATTACAAAAAATAAAATTCAAGTTTGGGATCTGGGCGGAGCAGTCTTTTACAATTTTGTGCTAAACTCTAGCACCATCTCTAGCCACTCTCCCCTGGCTAAATTTCCCCGCCAAATCTGTTTTTGTTTGTTCGTGTTCCCAGAGATGACAGGTCCTTTATAAACCTGGGCCGTTCTCCTTACCTTCTCCCTCTCCTTATAATGCTCTCCTCCAACCTTATTTTTTAGCCCCCAAATTTCAATTTTTCCACTGTGACACAACTCTAATGTAACCAAACGTACCTTTGCAAAACTTTCCCCAATTTCTCTGAACAGCATTAGCTGCTCTTTTCTCTGAGTCCCAGTATTATAACAGAATTTACCTTTTTTTCCCTTTTCTGCGTTTGAGACCCAGGGGTCACCAATTCTGGCCCTGGCTCCAACCATTCTAAGTGGGTGACCCTGACCATGTTACCATATCTCCTTAAGCCTCCATTTTCATCCACAGGATGGGACAATATATGTATCCATGTTACATATCCATGTTATGAGGTTTCTATGGGGTAATGTATAGTGCTACCGGAATAGGAAAAAAATAGTAAGAGCTCAATGAACGTGAGCTGCTATTATTTCCTTTATATGTCTAGTATGCATAGAAAGTTGTACAGGAGAAGCTAAGACCAGTTTTAATTAATTAATATTTTGATAATTTATAGTTTCTACCAACTGCATTCATCTGCATATAACACATAACTAACTCCACAAAAAGTCATACAAAAATATAATCTCTGTGCTATAAAACAAAGCATTACAAGTAAGTTAATAGTGGACCATGGAATAAACCACAAATGCACACATTTAAAGCCTGGTCTATGACTTTCCCCTTCTTATCTTGATTTTCCCCATAGCACTGGATGGTGTAGTGGCCACCACAGTGCAGCAGTCAGCAGCCCAATCACACACAGTGCTTGCCTGTGTTCAAATCCCAGCTCTCTTACCAACTGGCTGTAGCCATGAACAAATTACTTATTTTTGTGCCTCAGTTTTTTCACCTGTAAAATGGGGGCAATATAGAACAGCCAGTTGGTAACAATGCCAGTAGCATTGGTAGAAAGATGAACTGGGGTTTGATGGAAGTGTCTTGGATTGTGTGTGAAAACACCACACTGTACCCCCAAAGTGCATCAATGTACACAGTTACCATTCAATAAAAAAAGAAAAGAAAAGAAAAGAAAGATGAACTGGTTAATCCATGTAAAGCACTTAGACCATGTCTGGCACATGTTAATCTCAATAGCACTGTCTGTATTATTGTTGATGGAAGGTAACCTTTTAAAAAATGGAATTAAATAGCTAAATTATTCTGGAGGTAATGGAGAG